GTATTATAATTTTATATTTAACAAAATATACCAAATATGTATTTTGCATTGGACAAAATAACTTAAATACATTTTTTATGTGTTAGACCGACAAATAACTATTTCTTTCAAAAAGATTATATTATTTAGAGAGCTCATGTAATCATTTAATACTATTTATTCTTCATATTCAATCCTTTATTGAATCACAGAGCAGTTCAGTCACAGTATGGTTCTAAATATAAGCAAGCTATATTGTGAAGAATGAAATTTATGATAAACTACATAGCGAGAACATAGCATTTTTTGGGGGTGGGGTGGTAATGCTAAGTGGAGACTCGTCTTTTCTATAATTTGGGACGAACAAATGTTCATCTGTTAGTTAATATTGTTTCATTGGAAGAGCTGAAACAGTGGCTCTCACAGAACAACTCAGCCTGTCTGCACCTCGGCGCGCTCCCGTAACAGCGCTGTCGAGGAGAGGAGTTTGATCACGCGAGCAAAGTTGGACATATCCGTTAGATAACAACACTCTGAACACATGAACTTATAGTGCGTTAGATTTTAGATACCAATGTAAGAGGTAGCTCGGGAGCGAAGTGCGAAGGACAGGATTTGCTCAATCAGGACAGGAGCTGCAGGGCTGACCGGTGTTTATCCTGCAGACTGCTTCACTGACATCAGAAAGACCCGCCCTGCTCTGCTCTGATTGGATAAAGCTGTGGGGTTCGTTTGATTTGTTGAAAGCAGCGTCTGTTTAAACCTATATCAGACTGGGGGCTTTAACAAGACCGCAATTGAAAACAAACAGGTTTCTCTTTTTCTCATTTATACCGAAAATACCGGCATTGTCAAAATGACGTCAGTTATTATCATAAATGTTGGTATCTGTTATTTTTTGGTATATCGCCCAGGCCTATGGTGTTTAACTCACCCATCTGACACCAAGTAACCAAAAACACTTCACTAAAAGGTCTTTAAAGAATCTGATCTGTTTTTGAAACAAATCCACATGAAAGTTTAATTTGTAAAATTCTGGGAGTGTGCACTTTTTGTGAAGTTCAGCCACCTCTACAAATGTAAAACCATCCATCCATTGTCTATACCTGCTTCACTGGTGCCCATATCTACCAGTCACTCTGCAAGGGGGGGGGGCACACACTGGACAGGTTGCAAGTCTTTTACAGGGCAACATGAGAACAATTCTTTTTTTTTACTACAGCACATGCTTATTTCAACCTTTACTTAGGCGGGGCTAATTCATATACAGGTTCATACAGGTTGTTTGGAATTTGAATCAGTGGCAGATGCTGGTCTTTCAAGGAGAGGAAGCTCAGTTTCGGCCTACATAATAAAACGTGTGGGTTATAAATTCTACCCTCCGTTCCTTTTCAAGAAAAACAATCTGTGACCCTGTCACAGATCTTTTTTAGTTTATAGTATTTATTCATTTCATTTAAAAAAACAAAACATTACATACAACAAAAC